GCCATGTACCTATAAGTTGTACACACAAGTACATGATAAATAAACTTGAGGTACACGGCATGCCATTCGGACAGAACCCACCACGAGGTGTTATGCAATTTCGACATTCTAATTAATGTTTTTTTTTTTTTTTTTTGGCATGTAATTCGGATGCACCGATGGTAAGGAATCTCTGCTGAAACCAATCTTGTTCTTACTGTAGGTACACTTTAAACCAGTTCAATAGCTAATCTGAATTTATTGCTGATTTATGGAACTGCACACATTTTAATGCCATTGGCAAATCTTTCGATTTATGTTTTATAGTTTATTTATATTGCAAATAGTTAAAACATTTCTTTAGATTTTATACATTAATAATAATTCGCACATCCTCTGGTAATACTTGTATTATTATAAGGTGATCAGCTCTAAAAATTTTTTTATATTAATTAAATCTTAGATTTCTAATACATACATTTACATGCTTAGAAAAAGATTAAAAATATAAAGAATAAGTAGAAAGAAATTTTTAGTACAATTTATTAATAATAATAATAATAACAGATTTTAAATAAAATGATAAAAGTACAGTACATTATTTAAATTAGAAATTAGATTAGTTTTAATATTATAATATAATAATACTTAAAATTATTATAATTTTTAAAGAGGTTAAAATGAATTGTTGTATTTTCACACATAATAATAGCAATATTTAATAAGCTTTTTAAATTAATATAATCTTATTTTAAGTATTTTACTATTATATCAAGAGTAATATGATTTGAAAAAATATAATTTTTATGTGACATTTTAAATTTAAATTATCTCAATTTTCTTTTTTTTAAATTACTTTTTAGTAAGGTGAAGTAAAGAATTTTCTCAGCATAGGCAATTTCGTGATAATATTTGTGGAACGTATAATGTAATTTTCAAGTCAATCGTGTAATAGGGTATTACATTATATGTTTAACAAATTATAACACAAAATTGCCTATGCCATGAAAATACCTTACTTCATTCTATATTGATTTTAAAACAATTACCTACATTATTGAAGAAGTATTTATTAAATTCATTAGTAACATTCCTACTATCGTTTAGTACTCGTATGTGTTAACTTTGTTTTATTTTATCAATATATTGATATAACTATATATTTTTTGTTGTTTTGCCTGCAATTTCATTAGTAAGTCGCCATATTTTTTGAGCTTGAATTTATACTTTTGGGAAAAGTATTGGTAATATTTTTTTTGGCTTATCTATAAAATTATTTCTATATATTTTTAATCTAAGTTTTAAATTAATATCAAATAGACTTAATATTAGTTTTTTGGACATTTTTTGTATATTTTTTTATATAGATAGCTAAGTTCTTGGTTGTCCAAGCTTTAATTTTTATTATTATTATCGATTTATTATTAGATATCCATAAAACTAATATTTCAACGTCCCTATTCATCAGTTCAAATGATCCTTGATTCTAGCTGTGTCGGGATTAACAAATTATCAACAGTAATAAAATTGGGTTTTTGCTCAGCTAACTACGTTTGTTATTATATTTTTGATTTACTAAGCTATGTTACTTAGGATAATTAGTGGGCATCCATAAACAAGACTCATACCGGCCAACAGTACGTTGACCTTACTGAGCCGTAATTACAAAATAAAGAATGATAAATTAAGTATTATACTTAAATACATAAGTTTACTTTTTTACAAAAAATCAAAAACGGCACCTACCTCAATGTAAGTTGGTCAAATTGCACTAAATGCCTCATTCTCCGACTTAACTGGTAATAGATGTCAATAATCGACGGATATCTACAGTTACAACATTTACCAATTTTCAGGGAAATTACGTCATTCACCACGTTGACGTCTTTCATTGTAATAGATATATATTTTTTTGATATCGCGATACGATTTCGATATAAACCAACCGATATCAATAATTGAAAATATATCGTTATAGAAAATTAGACATTTTTCTTATTATTACAAGTACTCGTACAACTATTTTATAATCCGTATTATACATTTATAAATATCTAAATCCTCACTAAGAAGAATGTCTTATAAACTACATAAATGAAATAATAATATAATCAAATTTAAAATAGTTGTTCTATTATACAATTTAAATTTAAAAAAATTATGTGATATTGATTCTATAGCGAATAATACCTACTGTTTTTAATTAATCTTATATATGAATTTTAAAAGAACTAAACGTTTGGTTTTTTTGTATTATATACTTACGTTGATTTACACCCAAAATTAATTTTATACAACAACCCGCTAGCTCATTATAGTGAACTAAATTATATTACAATAAAATATAAAATTGATGAGCACACTATACATTTCTGTGTGAAAAATCTTTGTACTAGGTGTGTTATGTATAATGTTATGTGTATAATTAAAGATTTATAATTATATGGTACATCTTATATTAGGTTTCTAGCTATAATTTATATTTTACTTCCACTTACTTATTTTTTTCAAATTTAATTTCTATAATTAAATTAAAAACTACGATTTTTAAGTATAAAAAGTTAATAATTATCATATCTACAAGGACCATACTTAAAGGACCATTTTCAAACTTATTATACAAACTATTTTGATGATATTCATCATTGACTTATTGATTAAGAATTTTAATTGGATTATATTGATTATATTTATAAGCAATTAATTATAATTTAATTAAAATATAAAACTATTAGAACTTAATTAATTGATTCTAAATTTTAGACTCACTAATAAAATATATTACAAAACCCGCCGACAGTGAAAACTACTATCAAAATATCATATTCATTACTTGTAATTATTAAAATAATCATACAACTTTGAGAACCTCCTTAATTGTGAGGAACCCATAGACTCATTTACTTGGACTGACGTAGAACTAAATGAAAGCGAATACCCTCTATCATCTAGAATTGAGTTAGCAGAACAAATTAAAAGGTTAAAAAATCAAAAGACCCCAGATGAAGACGGAATCCAGGGTAAAATTTTAAAGAGTCTAGATGAAGAAGCATATCAAATATACATAATTTAATAGAAGTAGTTTGGAAAGAAGAAAAAATCCTGGAAGATTGAAGAATAGCGATAATATGCCTGATATATAAAAAGAACGATCCACTCGAGTGCAACAATTATAGGGACATTGATTTATTCAAAGTGTTATTGTATTGCATCCTAAATAGAATTAAACCAATCTCCGAAGAAATTCTGGGAGACTACCAAGGAGAATTTTGACCTAACAGATCTACTACAGACCAAATATTCATTATAAGACAGGTTTTTCAAAAAAATGTGGGAATATGACAAAGAGGGTTATATATTCTTTGTGGACATTAAAAAAGAATAGGATTCTATACATAGACCGAGCATATTTAATACACTGAAAGAGTTCATTATACTAAAAAAATTAATTAACCTAATTAAAGCAACCATGGAAAACTCTGAGATTAAAATAAAAATAGCAAATTCTACCTCCAAATCAAGGGTCTGAGGCAAGGAGATGCACTATATCCGATCCTCTTTAACCTAGTTCTGGAAAAGATTATCAGAAATATTAACATATCAGAAAGTTCAACATTAGGACAGTTGAAAAAAACGCCTGCTAGCATATGCAGACGATATTGCCATCATAGGAGACGAAATTGAGATAACAAAAAACCATTGTACTAACGGATTGAAACTAATGGAGGCTGCGTGTAAAGTCGGTCTCATAATAAATGACAAAAAGACGGAATACATGAAACTCAGATGAAGAGATAGGACATATTAACATATATAGAGTATAAAAGTGGATAGACATATCATTCACAGAATACCACAGTTTGAATACTTATGTGTCCTCTTAATTCAGGACAGTGATTTAAATGTAGAGACATCAAAAAGAATACAATTAGCAAACAATTGCTATTTTGGTACGGGAAATCTACTAAAATCTAAATCTATATCTATAAATTTAAAAATTTAAATGTGCATGACATTAATACGTCCCATCATCTTGAATGAATCAGAAATATGGGCACTAAGAAATATAGATATAGGAAATCAGATTAGACACATTTAAAAGAAAAATCCTAAGACGAATTTATGGCCTATGTCTCGACGCAAGAACCGGATAATGGAGAATTCAAACCAAAAGAGATACTTTTAAATTTAAAAATTTAAAATTAAAAAATTAATTTAAACATGTTTAAAATGCAAAGAATATGCATGTCAAGGGAAGTCATACAAATAATATTTATGTGGGCCGGATACGCCTGGAGTTTCCTTTTTCAAGGACTCAATAATAAATGCAGTAATTGAATAGGGCCTGAAAAGAAAAAGACCACTAGGCAGACCACGCCTTAGATGGGGAGACTGTGAGAAGTGAGAAGTTAAAGAAGTAGACTTAAGAGTAAGCTGGAGAGTTGTAATAGAATCAGAGAGATATGAAGGGAAATTTGTTGTACAGTATGGTCTTAAAAGCCGGAAAAACCTAAAAAAAAATTTAAAAAATGATAATACTCGAAGAAACAGTAACGTTAGATTAAATGTTATAACTCAAATAAATAACAAAATTTAAGCTCATATTACAATTATAAATCTTAACATATGTGAAAATTTAGATATGTACAACAATTGAAATAATTTAAGTATCTTGTATTACTTAAATTATTTTAATTTAAATATTTTTTTTTTTTTGGAACCAAATTTTTTAATGATAACTTACCCCGTATTTCAAAACTTAAAAGTTTATAAAGCTTATAAAGTTTAACGTGGTAATTTTACTTTTAGTGTAAAATATTGACTCACAAAAATTTGAATATACATATTTAACTGTAAAATCAATAAATGATCGGACGTAATAAATCTTCATACAACGTTACACGTATATAGTTATAACGTGTATTCTTCGCAATGACTTTTCATCTATCAGAGAACCATAATTCAAAAAACCATTTTGTTTTCTTCTTATTCAGTGTTGTCCGTATCTAAATGTGTTACAGATTGCCCAATTCCATGCACACCATATGCTCGGATCGGCGGTGTGGCATAGCCATCAAGCTGTCCTATCTGCTGCCGTTCATAGTATGCAGTCCGACGTTTCTGGTGTTTGAAATACTTAAGACGAAAGTCGTCGAAAATGGTACCATATCGACACTGTACCATTTGGGTTTGAGCCGGTTGGCCCGGGTTAACCACGAACTGTTGTACATGATGCACCTGTGGACGTACGCCGTCATCATCAAACTGCTGCCTTGTCTGATATTAACGGTTGTAACGATATCCTTGGTAAGTTCTAATTGTTATAATTTATTATTTAGTATGACTTGTTTCTTATACGATGTACTTTTTCACAAAATCAGTTTATCATTAAAAGTGCACTTTTGCCCCCTGGGTAGCACAATAATTTTGTGAGCCATCCTCTCTGGACATCCTGGTTTTTGATACGATACAAGAGTAAAATATTATATGAAAAACTATATAAGATACAAGAAATAATGATAATAATAATATAAATTTTTCGATAACTAAGAAATTTGTATCAAACTGTTGATAATAGATACTTTTGATAGTTACGTGATAAAAGTTATAAATTTTACATTTCTTTCGATAAAAATAACGAGTTAATTTATTATTAATTTAATAAAGTTAGTGTACTTGAGTACATCGCACAACATTTCCGATGCTTTAAAAAATTATATTTGTGTTTTTAAAACTTCTTTTAAACATGCATTTTAAATAAAAATTAACAAGTGGTTTTTTAAATATTACCCTACTTTATAGACCACCCAGAGAGTACTAAATTTGTTTGTTATGTCATGGACACTATAAATAATATTAAAAAAAGAAAAACTTGCTCTACTACTATGATGCTTGTAGGAATGTGTTATTTTTTTTTTTTTTAATATTACAACGATATAATTTAAATAGAAAATTTCACAAATATAACAATCATTTAAAATATAAATATTGAAACTGATTCACCTATCTATTAAATCCGGTAAAACCTAAGTAAATTAATGATTTCTAAAATATTCAATTACTGTAAACTATTAAAACATTTTAGTTTGAATAAAAATTTTCTAAAAAAATAGATACAAATATCATTCTTCATTTGTTTGTAAAAAAAAAAAATATAATTTAAATGTTTAGATAAATGCGTTGAGCGAGGCGTCCGAAAGAAAAGCAAAGCGACTCCCAACTCAGCAGCAAATGGCTCGCAAAAGAAATATGAAACTGAAGAAAAGAATGGATCGAACAAGTCGTATAATGATCGCGGTGTTATTATTATTTCTTGCCACAGAATTCCCACAAGGAATACTGGGTCTCCTAAGTGGAATACTGGGAAGGTGTTTTTTCCGAACTTGTTACAATTTATTCGGCGAGTTAATGGACATGTTAGCCCTCTTGAACGCATCGCTAAATTTTGTATTTTATTGCTGTATGAGCAAACAGTTTAGAGTAGCGTTCGGTAAATTATTCGAAACCCGGCCTAGCATTATTCTTAAGCCCAGCAATATACTAGAGACATTCGTATAGGATTTGGAGGAGGATTAAGACAGGCAAGTGTTGAAATTGTGAAAATTAACCAAATTATCATAAATAGAGATGCCTGTAAGTTAATCCTTGCGAAAGCCATGTGAATAAATTGATCTGGTAGTGAATAATTTTAAAATATATTCAAGCATACAAGTTAACCAATAATCACTTCCACAGCCCAACGCTTTTTTCTTAAACAAATAAATATAAGTTTCAGTTGCTCAAGTTTATATCTCGTAGAAGACATAATTGTGTGAGTGTCGTATTGTATTAAATTTTTTTTTTTTGAAAATTTAATTTTGTCTAATGTTTTGTTAATTATTTTTTTTCCAACTTGTACTTTAGTTATCCATAATTTGTACAATATTATATGAGTGTGTTTTTATCGTTAGTAACAGGGTCGATTTATGTATAAATAATATTATAAAAACACCGATACACTCTTCAGTCTTAAGTCTTAAATTAATAAGCATTTTTGTTTTCTATATCAACTCATAAACGATATATGTGATACACTAAAAATATTACGTCATAATATTCAATAACAATATTATCAATATTTTCTAATTTATAAAATATTAAAAATCACCATTGCCAATAAAATGTATATAAAATGAAATAATAATATTAGGTATTATGGCAATTTTTTTGTTATACGTGTTTATTTTTATTTGATCATTCATAATAGTATAACAATGTTATTTATATTTACTGTTTTAGAGTAAGAAAAATTATCATTAAATTTCAAACTTTATAGATATTCGGTTATATATTTAAGTCTAATACTAATTTTACTCAATTATTCATATTTTAATTGAATTACAACATAAAAAAAATCTTCCGTAAATAATTCATACCTATAGTTTTTTTTTGATTTTTTGTAAATGTATTATATTGTATAGTTTTTTTTTTTATTTTATTTTATTTTATTTTTTTTTTTTATGATAATTCCAAATAAAGTTATAATTTGTGTCTAAACCCAAATAATAAAAATAAATTATACCAAAGTATTAGAGTGGTTAAAAATATATATAGGTAATATCATAATAAAAACAACAACATGGATTTTCAAAAATCAACTTAATTTTAATTTTCTTTGACAATAAACACTTTTAAAAAAGAGTTTTTTTAGTAAATTCATAGATTAAATTGAAAACTATAATAAACACTAATAACATAGTTCCTTCAAAATATTCATATTTACATCACCAATGATAAACCAAGACTGAGAAATACTGAGTGATTTCTTTTTCTTATATACTTACCTAGGATAATTCGTAGTTATATACAATTATTACAAATCATCACTCTTCTTGTACACAAACATATAACTAAACTTCAAACTATCAATACTTTAAATATTATTGAATCATAATATATTAAACAATTAAAGCAGAAAGATAAAATTGATGTTTATCGATTTTTTATTCTTTATATATCGAATATAAAGAAAAAGATTCATTAATAATCAATGTAGCTATACTATTAATTCTATGATTTTAAAATGCCACCGTATATTTCCAATACATAGTATTAAACTTATATAATATCTATACGTTCTTGATGAGTGGGAATGATATTACAATTCCGTAGTTTTAAACAATTCAAATTAAAAGTACTTACCTACATATTTTTAATGAGTGTGAAATAAACTAAAAAATATTATTTTAAAAATGTAAAAAACAATTATTTTAGAAGTTTTAATATAGATATTATTTGAAGAGTTTTTCTCATGAATAATATTCATACTTTATAAAAGACAATTTTATCAACACAACTTTCTTTGTATGTGATATAACAATTGTTGTATAAACTATAGAATTGTTTTTGAAGTATTGTAATTAAACTAATTAAATTCGTCAATCTTAATTTGTTGTATTTGGAACCTAATTTGTTTATACATTTAAATTTTAGCGTAATTAAATAGTTTGATTAATTCATAATTTATATATACTCGTAATCCATTAGAAAACAAATTACGAAAAAAAAACTCCATCAAATAATTTCGAACTGCCATTAATAGTATTTTAGTAAATTGTCTCTTAAAAACTTAAAATAAACTTTCAGACCGAATTTGAAGCATACAATTGAGTGAAATGAGCACGTCACATTTTTTTATTAAAATACTATATTTTAAAATAAATTAATAAACTATAAGTTATAGTATAATATATAATAGACATATTTTATTTTAATTATTTAAAAAAACAATAAATAATATTGTTTTTTGTTGTTTATTTGTTAATACAATTTATAAATTATTAAAATATGACACATTTATAAAAGTTCAGACATATATTAATTATACTATAAAATATATAATAATATGTTACACTTATAATAATTAATAACATGCGTTAAGAAGTCTCGATCCTATAAAAAATTATACATTTTAAAACAAAATTATATGTTTATTTGTTTTTGATGTTTTATTAAAACTGTAAAATTAGCTAAACATTTTTATTTTTTATAGTATTAATTCAAGTATTTTAGATGTCTACTGCTCGCCGTACTTTAATTTTTTGTAAAGTATATAAGTATTAAAGTGAAATAATTACATTGAAGTAGTATATTTATCCCGGTGTTTCTGAATTGCGTGCGTGATTTTCTCGCGACACAACCGAATTGCATGCCGCGATTTTTTTTTTTAAATTTATCAATTTTTAATGCATATTTTTGATATAAGTTTATATTTTTACGCATTCTTATTTAAATAGAAAATTGTTAAACAACTTAAATAGACTAAAAAAATTATAAATGAACAAATAATAAATTGTGTGTTAATACATTAAAATAATATAAACAATTGTTAAACAACGTCAAAATATATAAGTTTCAAAACTTTTCAGAGTATAATAGATTAAAAAAATTATAAATATATAAATAGTGTGTTGCAATATATTGAAATAATATAAGAATTATTAAAAAAAATCAAAAAAATTTTAGTAAACAAATAAATATACAAATAATTTAAAAATATAAGTATATAAATGCTATAAAAATTAAAAATTAAACTGGCAAATTTTTGTATGCCAAAATTTCTACAAACTCCAAACGGGTTAAAACTTGATCTTTATACTGACGCTTAATTTCATGAATATAATTTTCTTTTTCCATTGTCACCCGTCATTTTTGTGTTTGATTTGAGCTATGCATTTCGATGTAAATGTCAGTTTGTACATTTTTTAAAACTTCTAAAAATTGAAAAATATTTGGATACAAAGAGTAGAACATACTATTGAGTTTCGAATGAAACGATTCACAAGCATTAGTAGTACGCGTTAAACTGTTAGAAAACTCCGCCCATATTGATGGTAGAAATTTACTGCTTTGTAAAATGTAATTTTTTTCAAAAAAGTCACAAAGCATTTAATTGCTGATTATTTGGTTTTATAGTCATGAGATCTTCAAAAAAACATTTTTAAACTTCCTCAGGTTCTAAAAAGAATAATCCAAAGCATACTTTTAAAAATTTTCCGATTTCTGATTTTTTTTTAAAGTTCTTACTTAGGCCAAGTGATTGGATTTTTCTCCACATAGTCTGGCCCAAGTGAAAGCGACAGACTATACGAACTACTCCGGGAAAAATCTCTGAAATTACCAAGTGAATAGGTTGTTCGAAATCAGCGTAAATTATACGTGGTGTAAAAGTCAAATTGAATTCACCAATTTTATCTAACAAATCAGAAAATGCATCTTTATATATTTTTGTAGTTTTGCCTGTTAATAAAAAAAAATACTAGCGGGGTATAATTTGAATTTTTAGCTCCATGGATAATAAATAATTGATAAAATGGTTTAGGACAACTTTTAAACGTACCATCAATATATAAAATGGCACATTCAATTAAGTATTTCAAATTAGTTTGTGTTAAAAAAGCTATTATATTTTTTTTTGAATTATTAATTAGCAAAAATAATACATCTCGATTTGTTTTGATTTCACCTAAATTTGTTAGAGCCAAATGTAGTTCATCTAAATTTGTAGGTAACTTTGGAATCGTAGTTGAACGTGCATAGTGAATATTTTTTCTTATACGCATCGTGTCTGTAGTAGATAGACTATTAATATCTTCTTCACGTAATTCTCGGTGTAAAATCTTACATGGCTTTTCAAACAGATCCTCCAAAGCTTTACGTTTTAATTTATTACTTACTTTTTGTCGAGTTAAAATATTGACATCATCTTTTTCGTGGTCGTGATTTAATGCACTAAAAATAATTTCACTATTTTCATTTAATTTAAAAATGATTTACACATACGTTTTGTGCATGCCCATCTTTGAATATTATTATTTAAATATTTGTAAAATGAAATGTATGGCCATCAATTAAATATAGTATTTCCATTTTTTTTTTTTTTGTCGTTAAATCAGTTTGATTGCTAACTATTAACTGATTGTTGAAAATTTCAAATTGTGTATATATTGTTACATACTTATCAAATTATAATAATCGCTATTCACTAATCTAATCTCATTCCTCAAAGAAAACCCATATTACTATCGAATTTACTATACTTAACTAAATATTACTATATTAAATTTACTACAGTATAAACTCAAATGATCGGCGAAAACCGGTCGTCTATTCAAACTTGTACGCGTGCAATTCGAATGTGTCACGAAAAATACGTGCACGCAATTCGGTTGTCAACCAACATCGCTTTTTTTTTTGCATGCAATTCGGATGCAGCCATTTATCCAAAACTCATACTCCCAGAATTTTTAAATGTTCGTTTAACATGACTAAGGCCAATACCTATATTAATACTTTTATATACTATACATTATAGGAGGGTGTATATAAGAAATTTTCATTCCGATTTATTTATTTCTGTGAGTATATATATATTATTAATCATTACTACTTTTTTAACATTAAACAATAGTGCACGATTGTGTTGCATTTTAACAACAATTCAAAGTGAATTTCAGTGAATTTTAAATTTATTTGTAAATATTTTAATTTTTTTACCTTATTATTTAATAGTTTTCATC